TTCAAATTTATGTAGAAAGCGTTCTTTTCATTTTGTTAAATAGATTTGTCTGTATGATGGGAATGTCACTGCATACAGTCTAATTGTTTTGATGTACAATTCTGTGAATAATGAGATTACCGGGACACTGTGTTCTTCAGCTTTTCCTTATCTGGCGAAACTGAGAAATTGATTATATAATTGTTGAACGTGGAAAGTTGGTCAACCCGGAACGCCGAAAGTCGACTACCAGAAACCTGTAGTCTACGAGAAGTCAGTAAACTAGGGCGAAACAAATTTGATCTGTACAAATCATCATTATACACTAATGTACCAAAACATCAGCACCAGATCTGCAAACGTTACAAAAAGTCAGGACAGGTACAACGAGTATAGTTTTCATGATCTTTTCAAAGTGTAAGGGCCGTAATTCCGCCAAAATTCGGTCAAATGAACGAAGCGCAAACTCGATCTGTTAATTAAGTCATCATTCACTAATGTACCATTAAACAGCTCAAGGTCTGTCCGCATTATAAGAACAAAGATAAGTTTAATAAATATGTTCTTAATCTAAGGTCAAAAGTAGGTCAATCTTTACGGAATGCAATATGTAATGATAATACTAAAGTACTAATGTGCCAAATTGCGGATCAATATCTGCATGAATAACAAAATCCTCCGGACTACTGTTTGATTTTAAAATAACGAAAGGACTGAATGACGGACATGGGAAATACTGTATGCCCCGACCACTTAGTGACCGTATTTCCTATAGATACACAGATTGAGACATGAATGTTTGGAAAGTCAAATAAAACACCAAGAGACAAAACGGAAGAGCCAAATACTATTGAGGATAACTTTGCCAGACACAGTTACAGTGTCAAGTTTACAACAATTATAATACTTATAAACTAAAATTTAAAGTCACAATATATCATTTACATCAAACCGATATAACGCACTAGATACCAACTGAATTGTACTATAGATCCGAGTGATAGCATTCCATCAGCGATACTTACCGTATGGTAACAATGTTAACGTGTGATACCGTTTCCGGTACACATGACACATGAGAGCTATAGTTAAATGCATTAAGCATGCTTCACATAATCATCGTAAGTGTTTTATAAATCCAATACTGTACCATTTACATCCAAATCCAGCAACATAACAAGCAATTCAAGCTAAAATTATGTCCAAAAAATAATTGAGATACCGGTAGATCGATTGGTTGAAAGTATTAGACCAGCAATTTATACGTTACCCGGTAACCTACAAAACAATTCCTTTCTGTTATATGTAATCTCCTGATTCTTGAACGTTTATAATTTGTATAATGTTCAATGTTTTTAAATTTTTAATTACAAATAAAAGATGCGAAGTGATAATGCTTTACTTTACTAATATGCTAGAGGGAGTAGAATTTGATTTATAAGAACTGTCAGGCTTGCGCCTTTGTGGCAAAAAATTGTCCATCTGAAGAACTATCTTGGAAATTAAGTAGTATTAGTTGCAATAGATACACGATGGACTAGTCCCCCGGGATCGTTTCTACTGATTACCCTTATTACATTCCTAGATAATTCGCCATTGAATCCATGCTTATTTAATTTGCTGTATAGAATTAAGAGGGTTGAATCATTTAATCAAGTTTAAGGACTATTCATGTAGTATGAGAAAATGGGCTTTAATTGAAGGAGGTTTATCTCTATAGAACTATCACTGTAACTCTGGCTTCTAAATCAAATAAACTGAAAACTTTCTCACCTAGGGACTACAAAATGAACAAACCTTTTAACTTAAATGAATTGTCTATAATTCCATGGTGAATTCGACTGATATCAACCCCATTTACTATAGGAAAACCAAGCACTATCAAATAATGATGGAGAAAACAAATACATAATCGGTGGACTTTATTGTCATTTATGGTAAATTATCTTACATGATAGCACCTGCTTTCTTATTCCTTCATATAACAACAAGCTTTAATAAAGCTTAATGACTATTGTAAATGGACTTATTGATTTGTGATGAACATTTTAACATAATAGAATTTTGTAAAATGACATAATAGTTCAGCAGCATTCCAAACATCTTCTTAACATACGAATCGTGCCTTTTTGCCGATCTTTCTAGGGGTAATTGTCAAATTGACTTTTCGTGATAGAGAAAAGGGATAAATAGTTTAAAATTTCAGAACAGTAGTTGGTGGTTAGAGGGTTATAGAAGTGCACAAAGTTTCCGTAAATTTTTAGTGAAAAAAATAAATGTTACTTATGACCTTAATTGAACACAGTTGGAAAGGGGGATATTTCAGATTTTAGTTAATCTTTAACGTTTATTGAAAACGACGAATATATGAAATATTTATTTGATTTCTTATACTTGCGAATTATACTTATTTGATAAACAAATATTTTTTATCGACCATATGATATCAACCTGTTATTGTTTTACGATATAAAATTCGATTTATGGACCAATCTCATTTTTAGCAATACTCAAAATCATGTTACTGTGCTTATTCAGTGGGCTTTGGGGTATCACAATAGCAATGGCTAAAACAGTTTACCAAATTGCAGTTTGAATTCTTCTCCCATAAACTGATCAAACAAGAATATTTAATTTCATCATTATATTTGTACATATAAGATAGATATATTGTTCTTATTACTTACAGTAAGTAAATTTTACATATCAAAAATGACGAAAATGCAATAAATGGGAGTATATTGTCAAATTTTTACGTTTACATAGCCTGTTTCGCGATTTTGCCGATTTTAACAGTCATTGTAATAGCACCAGGTAACAAGGAGTATCATAAATATAATAGAGGCGTTAGTTATACCTATTGCTTACAGCATAATTTCGTCCAATTTAAATATGACGTCGTTTTTCGCCTTGTACACTTACGATCAATGTTAAATGAGATACTCGATAAACCATGACCCACAAAAAATGACAACGAGATCTATGAAACTAGCGTCTGATAGAACATAGAACAGGAATTCTGGGATCATTTTGTACATTTTCCTATATACTTAATTCGTTGAAGGTATTGTCATGAAGTCCGAGTAGCTGTATAGAAAGGACACGTCTTGAGGAATATTTCATAATTCACTCACCTATTTAAATCAATTCTTTTTTTGTTTGTTTGGGGGGGGGGGGGGGGCATTCCATAGTCCATTAGGATTAAGCTTTTTTAGTCATATCTTATGTTGGAGCAAGTTGAGCAATTATAATGAATTTTCCATATCAATTCATATAACAGTACACAATCGAAGAGATGTAACAGATCTCCAAAAGCGACGACAAGTTAACCTTTTCGGGATAGAATACCGCTCTGTTATATTTCAAACAATTGATTTCTGTCATTGCAATGACTTTTTTTACTTTTGATGAATTCATTTTGTTAATTTAATAAAATGGCCTCATTACATTGGAAGACAATAGTCCCAGAGGACCTTTTATCTTGATATGTAGACAGGCCAATCAATTTCTATAAGACCATGATAGACGGCTGTAAGGTTAAATAAATATCACATTACATGGATAAATTAATTATAAAGAGGATGCTCCTGAATTATTCCCTTCACTAGTCAGTCAATGGGGCGTATAATTAAACTTTATATTGTTATATGGCTATACATTCGATCAAATTAAAGCCATTAGAAATTGGTCGTTTATTATAACTAACGGACTAGAAGACGTAGGTTTATCATTCCCGGATCTTTGGCAATCCATTATTCTTTGTTTCTGAAAATACGGGTAAAATAAAAAAAAGAAAAGAAAGGAAACATGGTGCTATGCTGTGAAATGCTTTTAAAGATAATTAGATTTATTAATATGTTTATTGAATATGAAAATGTAGGTAATTAACTTTTGGTGGGGTAAATAACCTGAATAAAAGGTCAGAGTTGATACACAACTGCTTCAATTAAAGCGACTATAGTACATGTGTATTTTTGAAAATAAAAAATATACAAAACAAAATAAAATACAATTGCCATATCGAAAGAAAGAACCAACGGTACGTATACGTATATAAAACCATGTCATATCGAAAGAAAGAACCAACGGTAAGTATACGTATAAAAAACATTCTAACATGACGTTCTTCAAACGCTTTGAGTACACACCCATGGTAAAATATGAATATATTATTTGGGCTGTTCCGATCGTACTCGCGCGTCATATGCTTTTTTATGAATGAGCTACCCGACGTCATAGAATGATGACGTAAGAATATAAGCATTTTACCGGAAAATACACGCTTGTGAAACCGAAAATCATCACAACAAGAAAACGTAAACAAACGATGCTAAAATGTGTTATATAAGCCATTTTTTGTTTACATATAAGACATATAAATACAATTATCATTTAGATTCATCCAAACCTATCTAAATATGTCATTGTAAATAGTTTAAGCATGCCATTTATTCAGTTTGCTCCGTTCTTTTACGTCAATTAAATAGTGCGTTTATTTCATGGGAACGGCAAATAATGCCTTCACCTAGAGCGCTTCGATCCAAAAGAATTGCAGTATTTGTCCTATTAGAATCGAAATAATTCATGGGGGCTTGAATATATCGTGATTTTACCACGGGTTGGCCCTTTATGACAAATATTTTACCCTGAGCGATAAGGGCCAACCCGTGGTAAAATCACGATATATTCAAGCCCCCATGAATTATTTATTAAATACATTACTTATCGAGATGCTGTTTTAAATAGTTACTGTACATCGAATAGAGGAAATGACAAAGGTCATTAGTCGAAATAAAACCATACTGGTAAAAACAAGCCACAAAAATTCACCACAGAAAAAAATCCAATGCCATAATTTTCACTAAAATATTAAACTTTTTTCATTAAACACTTTATTGAAAAAAAAACAATGCATGGCTGCAATATATTGGTTAAGTTATACTAAGTCTCACTGTATAACAGTAAAACTGTTGAAATGTATTGTTACATCATCTTATGGACCGCAATATTAAAAGAAGAAGAAGAGTAATAAATGTTCTATTTATGAAAAAGCAAAACAACAGTTTGATTTTGTGGAGAAAAAAAATCCACAGTAACAGCTTCTTAATTAACAACTGCACTTCCTTTATTGTCACATTAGGCTGAGGAATTTATTGCAAAACACTTTGTCCAATAGACATTAGTAAACGATTTGCAGCTTGCCTTTGTATTTCCTTTTCTTCAGCAACTTGTCGCCTGCAAAAAAAATGATTTTTTCAAGATCAAAATAAAATAGAATAGAAAGGTTGCAAAGTTTTAAATAATTAAGATAGCAACTTTTACAGCGATCGAATAGAAGAAAAGAAACAGGGAATTACAAATGTCTGATCTCTTAACGGCGGCTAGAGATAAGTATGATGTTCTAGTCTGCGAAAGCATGGTTTATTTATTAGTTGAAATTTGCTTTAAATTAAATTTCAGTAACTGCAAATACTCTGAGGTCAGTGCCTTTGTTCTTGTGATTTTTTTTAAATAAAGAAGGTTTTTTGTGTGCTTATAGTTTCGATCTGATGTGTCAAGCCTTTCTCTATAGATTTGTTCTTATATTGTGCTTTAACACCACCGTCCCAGATTAGGGGTGCGCACTCACAAACATGTTTAAAACACCCACATTCTTTATGTGCCTGTCCAAAACATGAACCTGTAATACAGAGGTTGTCGTTGGTTTCTGTCTGCCATATACAAATAAAGAAATGTGGTATGATTGCCGATGAGGCAAACTAGCCACCAGATACCAAAAGAACGAGGATGTAAGCAACGAGAGATCGTCGTACTGTTTTCGACAAATAGCAACACCCAAACCGTATAGTAAGCTAAAACAAGAGGCCCCAACAAAACAAAATATAAAACGAGAAAAATCAACGGTATAATTTATGATAAAACAACAAACCAAACGCGAAACAACTTCTTTTGGAATTAGTTTCATTGAAAAATACCAATAAACAAGAATGTGTCCATAGTACACGAATGCCCCACTCGCACTATCATTTTCTATGTTCAGTGGACCACGAAACTGGGGTGAAAACTCTAATTTGGCATTAAAATTAGAAAGATCATAGCATAGGGAACATGTGTACTAAGTTTCAAGTTGATTGGACTTCAACTTCAGTAAAAACTACCTTGACATAAACTTTAACCTGACTTGAACAAAAACTTTAACCTGAAGCGGAACAGACGGACGGACGAACGAACGGACGCACAGACCGAAAAACATAATGCCCCTAGGTGGGGCATAAAAATATCATATATAGATAGATAACGGACAATGTAATTTGTATATAGCTAGTTCGAATGAAAAGATATCTATTCTATCTAAACAGAAATGAATAAAATGTTATCGATGCTTTATACATTTGAATTTTTTTCTTTTGTTTTCAAATACTAAACATCAAACAAAATTTATTTTATTGTGTAATCATGAATTGCACTCAATGTTAATGAATACTCTGGATCGTTTCTTTTTTTTTCCACAGAAATCCAAATCTTGCTCAAGTACGATAATTTACAAATAACATAAGAAACATATGCATGTAATATGTCGAGTCATGTTCCTCTATAAGTAAACATATAGAATTAACCATGAAATCTGTTCTAAAACATGTGTAGGGAAGAAAAGAAAACGTTCTTCTTTAAATCGGACAACGATGTTTTTTTTGTATTTTATGTCCAAATTGCAATACGAATTTAATTTCGAGTGTTGAGAATTGAAATTTCAGTACAAGAATTTCTTATTTCATTCCGAAATCCTTTAGGTCTGTTCAGGTGTCAGACCACCAATTCACCAACTTCAATTTAAAACGTATGTAAAAGTAGCACTTCCCTGATAAAAAAAAAATAGTGCTTTTGGTGTCATTGCCTACTTAAACTCACATACAAATTTGCAGAAATGAAACTTTTGGTGAAAGAAAATATATGTAGACCATTTTGAGCCAAAATTTACTTGTCCATGAATTTGCATTAAAATTTGAGGATAAATGCGCTCCATAGTATACTTATTTAAGATTTTCAGAAAACCAGGGGTTATTTTTAGTAGTACTTGACTTCCGAATGGTAGTATTTCATTACAAGACATTAAACATTGGTTGAATATTGTCAAGTAGAAAGGTGATATATGTACAGTTCAGGATATACCTGGTTTCAATGAAGTTAAACGGAATGTAAAATATTTAGAAAGCTGTTAAAATTGCTAAATTTGGTTGAATATAGATAAGGATTTTGAATTGTTGATTTGACACCTTCAACAGTCGTATATTCATGCACCTGTGTATTTAAGTTTTAGATATGCATGCTCCGGGTGCGGGAGTTTCTCGCTGCATTGAAGACCCATTGGTGGCCCTCAGCTGTTGTCTGCTCTATGGTCGGGTTGTTGTCTCTTTGACACATTCCCCATTTCCATTCTCAATTTTAAACATATAACTAAATATATCGCAGAAAATCTTTAATATTGGCATACTTTTCCGAATTATATATGTTGTTTACATATATCTCGTTCATATACATATATGTATAATTTGTTTATTTATATTTCAAAACTATTAAACACATCAACAGTACATAAGAGTGCATTTGTTTCTTACCCGAAATTTTGTCATCGATGACTATCGTTTAGCAAACGTTAAGCTGCTAGAAACAAAAACATCGTTTAATGAACATATCGACCCCGCGTAGTAAGACCGAAATAGATTACATACACGGAATGTAAACAAACAGGTAAAAGTGCGGGAAATGAATTACCAGGACTTTGCGAAAACAACACTTGCTCGTAATTATTTAAACGACAGATGCAGAAACAAATGTATCGTTTACACGTCTCAACGATAAACGATCAACGACTACGCGACTATTTTGCGCGTACATCGTTTATGTGAACGATGTCAACGTTGACCAAAAAAATGACAGAAACACATGGATTAAAGGACTACGCGCGTAATCGTTTACATCGTTTAGTTTAGAAACAAATGCATTCATTTGTTCTGAAAAATACAGTAAGCCTTGGATCTCAGCTTCGTATTGAGCCAGGAACCCAGGCTAAAAATATACAGACGTACCTCCACTTCGTTCTCCTATTCTGAAACCATGTTTTCACTTGGGAATCAGAAATCTTCAGGGCTTTTGCTAAATGCGTTCGTTCTGATGACGCTAGATATTTTTGCTGTTCAAACCTTTTCTCTAGTTCTATAATTGTAAGTCTGCTAAATGATGTTCTTGGCTTTTTTTTCTTTGGTGGGGTTCTGTTTTGATATGGATGTCCTATTCGTCTCGTTACTAAAATGCAGAAAATGATTTATAGTAAATTATACCTAGTATTTATATAAGGAAGCAATTGTCAAAATTAAAGTATGGTCGAATGCGAATTAGATTTAGAATCACGAGCTAAGGTTAAAGATAAGATGACGTTTTTTGGGTATGAGAAATATGTACAGGTATATAAGCTTACGTCTTTATAGTCAAAAAGCTGAAAAATTACAATGATGACTTTTTACACGACATGTGCGTGCGCTAGCATGCATGTTGATGAGTGAGAATGGTATTAAAAATATGAAAATGTTACGTCATGTATATCGGATTTTGTCGTCTGTAGTTGATAATGTACATATAAATGACTTGTTTAAATCATGATAATAATACTTACGTATTTGCCTATCTCTTGATAAATCTTGAAGTGGCCACATAAGGCTTGAATTTTGCAAAAAATACGGATTAAATAAAAGTCTAGGACTGTTTGTATGGTTAAACATGTTTTTGGATAATTGTTCATCGTTAGAAAATGACGTTTCTGAAGTCACTGAATGTTCACTTTCTTTCAAAATGTTTGCAATTCCAAACTTTAACGAATTATTCCGAACTGGTTCAACATTGCTCGAAACTGATTCAGTGTCCGAATGCGAAGAACAACAACTTTCAATACCTGCCAAGTCATTCATTTTGTTAAGTTACTTTCGAAAGTTTCATACACTTCCTTATTAAAATCTTTGTCAATATTAACTTGACTTCCTGATGTACCCTGATCAAATTGAAAGTTCATCACCATTTTGATTTGTGAATCGCTGATTGAAGGAAAGCAATACAAGTTAACATTCAGCAGGATTGATAACCCCGCCTTTATATAATTATGACAAATTTAAGATGATATCAACGACATCTGGTTGTCTTAGATCAATAAACGTCTGTCCACTCTATCATTCACAAACTAATATTTGTTGAATCCGTCTTTAAGCTGACTATTAAAACCCTTTAAATTATTTTGAGATTGAACAGAACCCGTTAGTTTGAGCTGTTGTTTATCTTTTTCTAACCTCTATAGTAACTAAATAGAAATTTATTGGCAGTACAATCAATTTTATAGTGATCTCAGACAACTAATTGGAAACTCTTCATCGTTCCTTTCCTCTAATTAACATGTAACAGCACGGAGAATTAAGGACATTTAGTGGTTAAATCGCCTATAAAAACTGATAAAGTAAAACAGCACTTTTATTTACCCACATGCCATGGTAACAAAGTACAGTTAACAATTAACTTTTCTTATTTTGTCTTCCAGACTAGTTTATTCAAATTACTAATACCCACATAAAAAACGTATTGACTTTAATTATAAGGAACCGATGCAAGGCATGAGCTTCTTTTTCTCCACAAAAAGTATTTTTTTCTATAAAAATTATCAGTTTGTTCCTATTTATATTCGAAGTGTTATTTGACCATATAGCCTCGAGGACTGGTAGAGGTATATCGATAACAAATTGACATTGTTTGCGGATGATAAAGATGCCGTTTAAAGAATATGCTTTGAATGCTATCTAATTATCTAAGTTTCGGTTTATTTTATGGCTTTAAAAAAGAATGACATAACCAATGGAAAAGAAAAAATAAATATTTAGCGAACATTTATAAAGTGGTGGATTCAACGTGGGTACTTTGAAGTTATTTTTACGATTTGATCGTTTACTTGATATACAATCAAATGCAAAGTATTTTTTTGTTTGTACACTCCAAAAAAAGTAGTATGTTAGAAATATTCATTTGCAAATCGAATTTTGCTTATTTCATAAACTCTGTGCATTAAAAAAGCAACTAAGAAAAAATGTGCATTATCTGTACTTCTTACTGTTTATCCTTTCCGCTTTATACGAAAATTTCAGTGGTCATTCAGTAATATAACAAAATTAATAAGAATGAAGAAGAATGTGTTCATGGGACACAGATGTCCCCGCTTGTATACAAGAGTCAATGTACTTATACAAACTTATAAACGTTCTGCTTGCTTTGAAACTTTTTAATGACATGTGTATCTGTATGTTGTCAGTAGAGCGTGCTCGGGGGTTTGAGTGCTATCATTGTTCAATAAAAAACAGTAATTGGGTAACTCGAGAATGGTGAAAGTGACGCCACCATAATTCGAATTTGATCTGTGTTTAGTGGTATAAGTTTCATAACATTTGGTTGAGGCAAAGTAAAGAAAGAGTGCGAAAACAGCAATTTCGCAATTTTTTGTCGAGCCCGCAACTTCTGTTGCAGAAAGCTCGACATGGCGATAGTGATCCGGCGGCGGCGGCGGCCACGGCGGCGTTAACAAACTTTTTAAAAGCTTAATATTTCAGAAGGTAGAAGACCTGGATACTTCATACTTTGTATATAGATGCCTTATGATATGAAGTTTCCGTCTGTCATATGTCCATTGTCCTTGACCTCATTTTCATGGTTCAGTGACTACTTGAAAAAAAGGTTACGATTTTTAGTATTCTTAATTTCTCTCTTATTATGAGTAATAGGATAACTATATTTGGTATTTGCGTTCCTTGCAAGGTCCTCATGCCTGTCAGAAAGTTTTCACTTGACCTCGACCTCATTTCATGGATCAGTGAACAAGGTTAAGTTTTCGTGGTCAAGTACATATCTCAGATACTATAAACAATAGGTCTACTATATTTGGTGTATGGAATGATTGTAAGGTGTACATGTCCAACGGGCAAGTGTCATTTGACCTTGACCTCATTTTCAAGGTTCAGTGGTTAAAGTTAAGTTTTTGTGTTTTGTCTGTTTTTCTAATACTGTATGTAATAGGTCAAATATATTTGGTGTATGTAATGATTGTAAGGTATACATGTCTGTCTCGCAGGGTTCATCTGACCTTGACCACATTTTCATGGTTCATTGATCAATGTTAAGTTTTCCTGGTTTAGTTTGTTTCTTAGATACTATGTGCAATAGGTCAACTATATTTAAAGCATATTTGGTGTATGAAATGATTGTAAGGTGTGCATGTATTTCCAGTTTGGTTTCTTCACCTCATTTTGTTGGATCATGGTAACTCTATGTGATAGTTGTAGTAAAGCTTTATATTTAGGGCTATCAACATAAAATCAGTGGTCAGTATAGAAGGCGAGACATTTCTGCGTGTGCACTCTTGTTCCATTTATAAAGGGACATAACTCAAAAACGGTGAAAGTGACGCCAACTTATTTCGAACTTGATCTGTGTTTGGGGGAAATAAGCATTATGCTTAAGTTTCATAATATTTGATCAAGGCAAACTAAAGTAAGAGAACGGAAACCAATTTTGGGACATACGTACGTACGTAGATACGTACGTACATACATACGTAAATGCATACGGACGTACAGACGGACAAGGGTAAATCTTAATGCCTATTCCACCACGACAAAAGCAACAAAGGAGACATCAATAACATATTTGGATATAAATAAGAAAGATTTTGGTTCCATTTCGCTGAATAAAACAATTCCCAATCCAAAGGCATGCATTGACCTTAAATTCGATTAAACGGTTAAGTGTATACGTTTTCGTTAGTTACACGTTGGCAGTTGTGATCCAGATGTATTCCCCTGGTTTGAAGAGCACGATGGGTATGCCAAAGAAATTCTTGAAAAATGATATTACAGAAACACGTGTTGTGTCCACGGGAATAATATCATTTACACTAAGATGTCGTTAAATGAAAATCGGAACAACTGCAGGTTGACTCTGAGTCACCGAGGGTACTATCCTCCCAGTGGTCGGAACAACTGCAGCTGGACTCAGTCACCGAAGGTTCCATCCTCCTATTGGTCGAAACAGCTGCAGGTGGACTCCCGGTCACCGAAGGTACCATCCTCTCAGTGGTTGGAACAACTGCAGGTAGACTCTCAGTCACTGAAGGTTCCATCCTCTCAGTGGTTGGAACAACTGCAGGTAGACTCTCAGTCACTGAAGGTTCCATCCTCTCAGTGGTTAATACAACTGCAGGTGGTAGACTCTCAGACACCGATGATACCGCCCCCTCCCTTGGTCTGAACAACTGCAGGTAGACTCTTGGTCACATAAGGTTCATCCTGCGAATGGTAGGAACAGCTGTAGGTGGACTCTTGATCACCGAATGTACCATTTTCCTAGTGGTTGGAATAGCTCGGTCACCAAGCGTATCATTTTCCCAGTAGTCAGTGAGTTCGGTTCTGACATGATTTATAAAGAAGAAGAAGAAGAAGAAGAAGAAGAAGAAGAAGAAGAAGAAGAAGAAGAAGAAGAAGAAGAAGAAGAAGAAAAAGAAGAAGAAGAAAGAAGAAGAAGAAGAAGAAGAAGGCAAGAGATACATTTTGTTTTTTTTAGTTTTTAGTTCATACAATAAGTAATGTAATTGGGCCTAATAAAAGTAAAACTTTGTAAATTCTGTGCGTTCATGGCAATTTTTTTGGATTTTCCTTTATCATGAATGCTCAAAATCAAAACATTTAAACACAAAGGTGTAGCTTGCAACACCTTTATCAAAAGTGGATCCAAGACTATTTTGACCGCTCTATTTAGACCTTTTTGGTTATTAGGCCCGAATTTGTTTAATTGCTTGGCTTTCGAAACTTTTGTTCACCTGAGTCTACCTGATAAAAAATGTCGAGAAGCACATGTTTTGATAACTTAAATAATACTATTTGCATTTTTACAGCCACTTGGTCGGTTCCGCTGATGGCAGACTATAAGTCTCCGAGATTAACTAGTGGCTAGGTACTGATACATTGTGTTCGTTAATTTTCAGTTGATCAAATTATGTAAGTGTTTTAAAGTTACAAACTCCTCTGACCGTAGTTTACCATCTTTTAAGCTCTTCTGGTTTTTATTCACACGAACGTTTTATACTTTGCATTACTAACGTTTGATCAGGACGTATGTGGTGAATATTATTCCGGAATCCCGTATTGTGGGCATAGAAATCAAGTTAGATGTTTTGAAGAAGTAAGAATGTATCGATCTGATAAGTCATTCCTTCTTCTACCGATTTTTAAAGTTTGTTCTTATGGTGTTCTGTTACGCCAATGTCCTAGGTTAGTGAGAGGGTTTGACGCTCGCAAACATGTGGTCTCTGGTAGATAGAACTTGTTTTATTGGCAGTCATACCACATCTCATTATTTTATAACTTAACCTCAGTTGACATTTGATTCCTGAAAATGATAAACAGTAAGAGCAATTATCAGCAATAGGCTGACGCCAAATAAATAGTTAAATGGTATTCATTTGAAAGTATAGCATCCGTTCGTTCATTAACAGTAAATCTCTGAATAAATGAGAGAGAGAGAGAGAGAGAGAGAGGCAACTGTATTTCGAATCCAATAGTAAATGAATTTGATTATTTGAATTGTATTTTGTATGCTGGTGTATATTATATTTTTGACAATAAAATATTGTTTAGACCAATACAGATAACTGTTGAAATTTAGAGTAGTATACTGCATTGAAGTTAAAAAGAACTCTGAAAAAAAAAATTTAAGGCTTACAGTGCGTAGCTAGATATCAATAGCAAATGTTTTTGATATGTCTTTCCAAAGATAATTTATTATTCAATTGAAACCGCAAACGAAATAGTAAACCTCGAATGACTTTATATACGTCAAATATTTATAAATGACGTTTTTGTATAAATTAATACAAATTCTTTTAATGAGTAAATGATTTTTCTTCTATATGCATCCCTGTATGAACTAGTATTCGGTTATTCTCTGGTCAGCTTTGCCTTTTTTCATATATTGTACCTTTTGATAGATGAGCCGGTATACGCACATTTAAAACACTCCCCAAAACTTTCTTGATTGTTTTGAACCTTA